AAAGAAGTTCCTAGGTCTATTGAGAAATTTACCGGAATTATTGACAGCCGCATAGTTACAACCGAATCCACAAAAACTATTGCATATCCTTTTCGACAATCGGTAACACTCTCCTTGCACCAATATTCTCCCAAGTATTCTTGCACAGATACTTTAATCGAGATTTGATACTGGAATATATTTCAGTATCCAAAAATTACACCTTCTTGCAGGATATTTCCGCATGAGAATCTTCCTGTTCTTGCATTGCCGTCACTCTAAAACCGATGGCGATCGACACTTTACGATCGTGACAGTCCGACTGTCAATTCTGAATTTCTCTTCAATGTCCCAATCAGCCGAACAATCTAATATAAGAATACTTTCTCACTCTTAAAGGAATAAGAGAATCCGATGCTCCGTGACTGCTTAAGAATTTTACGGTCTGCAGGTGTCCACAACAGTTTACGAACTAGCATTCTTCGAAAGCACATCAAACTGACAAAACATAAACATGATCATGTGTTTGAACACCACACAAAAAAACAATCAAAACAATTTTATTGATGAATTAATTGAAACCAGGTCAAAACACAACAATAAACATCATAATTTATTCAACAATTGCTGATTCATCTGCTTTCGTACTCCTTGTATAAACCAGTTGGCCACCGTGATGTACAACGCATTTGATCAGACCTTTAGCCAACAGTTCTCGAAGTCCTTGCTTTGCCAACGACGCTCTGACTTTCAATCGCTCCGATACTACCGAAGGCGTAATCAGCTTGTAGGTTATCACCTATAAATGTTAGCAATTCATTATGATGTCGGAAGAATGGATACTTTATTGATATTCCTGTCAATTTCAACTTTAATTTTGGATTGCAATGTTGGTCAATTTCGAGACAGAATATGCCTCGATCAACCAGTGAGAACATAACGTTTTCCTGATCAAAGCAACCTAATGAATAAAATACACAACTGAAGGTAAGCTAAAATCGGCTGTGGCAGACGTTTGATCAACGCAATAACAAACGAAAATGACTAACTTCTTTGTACAGTTTATCGTAGGTTGCTTGATCGAAGAGTACCATATTGTTCAGCTTATCACGAACTTTTCCCTTCGACCACTTCTTCTTCTTGGCCTTTCCTCCTCCTCCTCCCTCCTTCTTCTTGGGGACCTTTGAACCCCCTTTGGTATCTCCTTTACCGCCTTTTCCTCCCTTTGCCGCCGCCTTTGGTGGCATTTTGAATCCCTAGAATTCAGCCACGAGTACATTAACACAAAAACTATCAATTAACCACTAACAACCCAAAAATCGATCATACAAAATATGAACGCATAATGAAATCGCTGACACTGTTGGAACATCAAAGGGAAATGGACAGATTTCTGCACAGGTCCANAACTGCGACTTACGCTGGACTTCAGAAATGCACAAGTGAAAGAGTAAGAGGCCGCGAAATGTAATCGTGATTCAAAGTAGACGTGATATCCACTAAACGAGTTGTCTCGTTGTGTCTACAGCAAAAAAAAAAAGATTATCCTGATTGATATCCCTTCGGACGGCCTACCGAATACTGATCTATCCGACCATCGAAAATATACCTAAGTGGAAATGCAAGCTATGCTAAAAATTTAATTAAACTTCAAGGTAACACACAACTATCGTTTTGCACTGAAAATCACCCAAATGTCTCACAGCTGCCCTTAAAAAGAGCAGCACATGTATCAAAAGGAATGAATAAACCCTTTAAGTCAGCAATCAAGCTTAATTACTTCGAAAACTCGAAGAAATATCACCGATTAGGCCTTATATCCACCAAAAATTTGTCCATACACTCGCTATTCTTAATATCGGTATGTGACTGCGATCCTATCGTAATGTGCTTCGCACAAACAATGCGTTGTGAAAACGCCAAAGGAAAGAGACAGCACAATATTTTGGTTTGAGACGATGATTCTACTTACACGAACTAGGCCTGAGTTTAGGCAAACACTTATTAATAGATAGGCTTAGGCTTGGGGCTATGCTTGAGCCTGGGCTCATACAGAACTAAAGTACATGTATGTGTATGCCTAAATTCACACGAAGTTCGCATATTGCAAAGGATATGCATTCTTTGCACATCATATAGAATGCTCATCGGATCATATTATTGGTAATGTGATGAAATTATGATAGCGAAAGGGATTGCGGGAACTTCGACGTTCTTTACGTGATTAAAGCTGAGAATCGCAGTCTACAATAGTGACATTAGGATATTGATAGTCCTGGTTACGCAGTCCGCATTCAAGTGAGCTGAATAAAAAGAAACTGCACCAATAAATATTCATGCTGTAGCTATCCTAAGATCCAGCTGATAAAACCATAAACATTCCGATCGCCATACAAAGTCTCTGATCCCAGTAAATTTTGTATTCTCGACATACCAACTTTCGTTAGATGAATTCCAAACTCCTAATCTTTTATACTTTTACAGAGATGAACACATTCACTGTTCGTATGAACGTGTATTTTCCTATTCAAATTCATCCTTTTCCTCACGTTCCTCTAACTCGATCATCCAGTTCAGATATCAGTGGTTAAAAAGACTGTACAACTTGAAAAATCGTTATGAAAAGAGCGAGATGACTCTCCACTATTACCAGTCAATCAAAAATGGTCTGCATGAGTAATCAAAAGCATTTCGACACTTCTTAATCATAATATTTCATTCAACTAAAGCTCAGCATCTAAACTCAAAACATTCCTAAGTATCCGATATGAATCCATTGATCAATGCACTTCACAGGATCATTGTTTCTATCAAAACTGATATCAATTTCGAAGCGAATATGCAATGAAGATTCCTCTAGCCTTAGCACTTTCAGTTGAGGTCAACCTTATTTAAGAGAGTTCAAGAGAACTCTCTTTAAAATGTTTCGCAGTTTAGGATATTTTGATACAGACAATTAGAATAATTTATCGTAATGGCATCTCTAACTAGCGGTTACATAGGTTCTCGGGATCTCAACTTCTAAATCTTGATCCTGGGAATCATATTCTGAAAGCCCCAAAGATTTTAAGAGGTAATAAAGCATGGTGTTTCATATGGTTTTAACAGTTCACTCATATCATTTATAACCAACAGCAATACGTAGATAGATCATTATACGATAGGTCTACTTCGGCTTTCGATTTTCAAAAAACCGTGAAGAAAAATTTCGCAGCGTCAATCGTTTCAGTTGTTTTACCACTTCAGTTCTCCAATCACTGATGCAATGTGAATCTGTGCATCGAAAGAATCACAATTCGTTCATTTATTTTCATTGAAATTTTATCTTCTTTGAATCGATTCGAGGTTTCGTTCGATGAATTTTATGGAAAAAAAAAGAATCTTTCATGGAAATTGAGTTCAATGTTCTCAAAAGTAGCA